ATTCCTTTCTAGCAAGCCTATTAATGTCCGATGGCCCATTGACTTGAAAAAATATTCTATACATATGAAATTGACAGTGGGCGGGGGTACCCGCTGGGCAGGGCTACCCGACTTTCCCCTATACCATAAACCTTTTTAACTTTAAAAAAGGTCCAAATAATCAGCTTTAAGAAAGAAAAATTTCCTACTCCTGTTGGATAGAAATCATGATCTTGATATTTTCCCTGCCAAGAGAGAATGTGAAATGCTGAACATACTTTAAATGAAATCCCAAAATTTTTTCCCTGTTAAGTGTTTCATCAAGAATATGTATGAGTTTTCTAGATTTTTTTAAAACCGCTTTCCTTATAAGGATTTGATAATGTTAATCCTTCAAAGAATCATACAAACACATGTTTTTTTAATACTAACTTTAACAAATATTTTTTTTAACACTTTTAAAATTGAATGTTAAAAATGAAATAAATGACTAGCCACAAATATTTACGTTGGAAATTATAAACTGTTTTATACTTCAAGAAATTCAAAAATTCTATTATTATATGTAAATGAAATTTCATTATTTTATAAAATATAATTTTACAAGGTACTAAATTTATTATTATATTTTCCCAGTTTTTTTTTTTTTTTTTTTTTTTTAGTAACTTATTAAAATTCAATGCAAACACATATTAAAGTCTTACACTAAGTATTTTTATACAAATTTAGTGATTCATTCTTACTTGATAAAATTAAATAATCCACTTAAAACTTTATACAAAAAAAAATTAGGGTACAGTAAAAAACAATTTGCAAAAAGAAACACTTTATAACTTACTTTTCCTCCATCTCTCTAACAATGTGTTGTCCATCAATTCCAGCTGGGATTTTTACTGTTGTGACAGATGGTAAACGATATACCTGATAAAAATTAATGAAAATTCTAGTTACTAGCTATAGTCCATTCCACCTTAAGTTGGCACTGCAGGGAAAGGTAGGATATGTAATACTCCGCTTTTGAAAAGTAGTTCTTCTCTATTTTGAAATTAATTGCAGCTTAAATGCGCGTTCAAATATAAATAAATTTTGTATAATAAGAAAAGTTTATCTTCAAGCATACATTCGAAGTTTTTCATGTTTAAATGTATTTAACTTATAAATAACTTCTCAGTAATGCGAATGTACAAAGAAGAAAGAGGTGTTTTAGTTTGGCGACGGATTAGTTTTCAAGGCCAAGGAGTTGGCGCGTTGGTTAAGTTTATACACTGGTCAGCCAGATTTGCTTTGTTTTTAATTAGTTATTAACTGTTAATTTGCTGTTTTTTACTGGTTAGTTATTGTTAGCTCGTTTTTTAAAGTTATTAATTTTTTTGACCATAATTTTAAATTGTGATTTCTTTTTTTTTCTTTTGATTTTTAAATTGACAAAATAAATGTATCAGATTGAGTTTATAAGTGTAGTCATTCATTAAAAAAAGTTTTTAAAAAATTCTATGTACTAATTGAAATTTTTTTTCACAATATTTCTTTATAGAAAATCTGATAATGCCAAAGATACTGTAAATATATTATGAGAAAAAAACTTAAATGTTTACTTTAATCTGTACTTTCAATCTCAAAAATCAAAAGATTTTTAAAAATGTAATTTGAAATGTGTTGGAATCTAACACATACCAAGAAAGAAAGTAATTTCGTTAGCTAAAATTAATTAATGCAGCAATTTATTTAAAACGAATTTTAAAACTTAGAAAAGAAATAATAAAAGTATGAATAATTTAAAACACTGCTTTTTTTTAAATCAATATATATGTAAAAAAATCAGTTGATTTAAATCAATGATTTTTTTAAAAAAATCATTTGATTTAAATCATTCAAATCGCGATTTAAATCAAGTTGATTTAAATCAACAAACCATGTTCATAAATGAAAAAAAAAAACTAATTTAAACCAGTATAGTAAAATTGTATTTGATTATTTAATTTTCTAAACATTAACCTCATTAAAAAAAATTTTCCCGTCAGAATGAATGAAAAAAAAATAGACAGGTGAATATTATTAAACTGATGACAGTTGAGCATATTTGCTGTGTAGCTAATTCAACATGTGATTTTAATATTTTTTTACGACAAAAGTAAAAATTGTTTTCGCTTTATTCAATCTCCTTAAAGATTCAAATTTTGTGTCTTTTGCGCCATGTGTAGCTCTGAAGTACAATTCGCTTTTTATAGGAACTTCAATAATGTGATGGCGGAAATTTAAGATTTTTAGTTTTGTTTAATTAAAGGGATTTTTAAATATTATCTTAAATACAAATTCCATAATATAAGTGTAAGTATAGGAATTGAAATAATTTCAAAAAAAGATACAAAATATGAATCATAATTTTTTTTTAACATCGGAGGGTCAATTTAAACCAGTCAATATTTTAATTATTAGTTTTGAAATACAAAGCCGAAAAAGCTGAGAAATTCTTTCTCTTATGTAGAAAATATTAAGATATTTCAGTATCTGACAAAATATTTCCAGGCTAATTCTACTATACTTAAATAACTAATTATACGGATTTATCTCTTAAGCCAACTTTCACCCGCAAAGATCCTGAAAAGCAAGGGAAGATTCTGATATTTTAAAATATGTATTTTCTTTTGAAAAAATGCGCCTAAGTAGAATTTCTCCTGATAAGACATTGTAGATTGAATTCAATTCAGGGCGAGTCCACAAAAAGTTTGCAGAAGGAACTGTCAACTGTTAAAATATTAAATGAATAACATGATAACCACCAGGACAGGTCAATGAGCTCCTGTTGAGTCTGAGAGGGTGGGATATGGCAGCTGCAAATATAGGGGGGAGGGGCGTACATGCAGTACGCGCTCCCTATGTGGATAATACCAAAAATTCAATTTTTGAGAATTATTTTTTTGGGTAAGTTCTTTTGTCTCTAAGAAGCAAATATATTTCATAAAAAATTTATTTTTATATTACAAAAAAGAACTTCTGAAAAAAAAATTTAATTCTTTATTCATATATATATATATNCCAGTTTACGCCTCTATATATATATATATTAAAAAAAGAAGAAAAAAAAAGAACAGTAAATATTAAAAAACATAGGTATGATATTTTTCATGATAAATGATTCCCTGCCTATGTTGACTTTTTCTTCCCCCACAAAACACCAATGTGGGATAAATTAATACAAAAGCTATGTGCTACAAAAAGTAAGCATCTAAAAATAAATATTTGAAACAACGTATTTATGCGCATCTATGCATTTCCTTTTTTTGCTTAAATTTCAGCAAAAAAAAAAAAAAAACTTTTCAAATATATTTTTTTTCTTCTATTGTTTACAAGTTAGTTTAGTTAAAAAAATCATAATAAGAAAATCTGCTTCTGAAATACTAATTAAGAAATTAGCTTACAACTAGTATCTTAAAATAATAATTATTAGAAATGCTCGAAAAAATCGTGTTCTTTTCTGTATTCTGTTCAAAATTTTAGTACGATTCTCGGTTTAAAAAAAAAAAAAAAAAAAAAAAAACATTGGCGTTTTGCTTTTTTAAACGCCAATACTGGCCACTTTCTCTCCTTTTTTTGCTACCTCATCCCTCAACCGACTTAAAGAGTAACCCAGTTTCCATGACAACGTCTGTAATCCGGTCTGCCTACCTTTCTCTCCAGTGCCAACTTAAGGTGAAATAAAATTGTTTATATAATTATGTTTTATAAAATATTTGTCCAATTATTTCACTTGAAAGCAAACAAAAAATATGTCTATCTTAGAATATTCTTTCAACTAAAATTTTAATCTATTAAATGCACATCACTGAGTAAAAACACATTTTTAAAACAGTTTTTTTTTTTTAACAAAAATTATCTACTAAGTTAAAACTATTTGACAGAATTGCGTGTTACTAAAATGCTAATGAATTCAATAAAACTTTTCTCAAATCTCGTTTTTCAACGCATGGTACATTTTTGTATATTCAATAAACCGTGTAAATAATTAACCAAGCTTAAAGTATTATATTTTTCAACCAGTAATGCACATCTTCCACAGATAAAAAGTGACCTATAAAGTATTTTGACATGGCCTCTAAACTGTCTTAAATATCAAAAATATGTTAAAAATAACAATAAAAATATGTTAAAAATAACAATATCTTAAATATGTTAAAAATAGCAAAAGTAAAAACAGGGTGAGTAGAGAGATTTTTCAACAAAAAATAAGCCCTTTTGAGTACTTTTTAAGCACTTAAAATATATTTTTAATCACTTTCCAAAAAAAAATCATAATTAGGATCTGTGCCGTAATAAAAATTATTTTTTCATATCATTTAAAGTTCTTAATTTATAAACATAAAATCAATAAAATTCAAAAAAAATTTCGAAAATTTCACATAATCATGATAAAATAACTAGTTTCTGATAAATATTGTAGAAAAAATTGTGAAAAACTTGAATTTTTTTGTAATTTAGAACGACAAACGATATGGCAAAGAAAAAATATATTTTAAAAAGATAGAAAATTAAGCACTTTTTACAAACCACGAATAAATAAAGCACCTTTAAGGGCTTTGAAAAATGTAAATAAGCACCTTTTAACACTTTTTAAAAATGCTACACAGCCTGAAAAAGTAACACAAAAGAATCTTTTTAACCATGCTCTGATACAGTAAGCAAAAATCCAAGGAAAATACAACAAGCCACTATTCAATTTGATTGTTACTCTTCTTGAAAGACTTAACTTTTTCTGTCCACCCCCTGCAACCTTTCTAATTTAACTTTCTAAAATATACTATCTTTCACTAACAACCTCTCTGGCAGGGACCATTTTTTTGTAAGATGCCTTTTGTCTAGCATAGGTGTGGGGTCGTTAGCTGGCGTTGTTGTTGCTCTGTGACAGTAAGCTAGTGATCTAGTTGAACTTTCCATAAAGAAATTAATTCAAATCAAAACTATCATATTAATCTCATATTGTATTAGTAACAATTTCTTCAGAAAAATAGTAAAATATAATTTTAAGCACAAATAAAAGTTTTTAATTTTCTGTTTTTAAACTCTTCTATATACCTATCAAATAGTTGCAATAATTTGCTTTGTAATCTTGTAAGTTTTAGATATTATCTGCGTTAACAGTAATATGTTAAGTGGTATGTCACTGCAGGATTTTAGAAATAATTTTCTTTTTTTGCTTAAACAATGCCTAGTACCTTAAAATAATACAATGTCCACAGCACTCGCACCTGTACCTGAAGGATTCGATTCTATTAAATATCTGAAACAGGATGCAAAATATCTACTTTATATAAGGAATGAGATGATATTTTCTCATTTTTGCACAGCATCAGGAATATACATAATTAAAAGAATTCGTTAAAGCCAATTTACATAAATTTATGAAGTTTAGTTTTCCCTTAGAAGTCATCATTAAACTAAAATTAAACTATTTTAATTCGAATTTAGAGCTGGTATGGTTTCAAATAAACAAATTAAAGTTTGCTGCTCTTCATAGATTCTATGTTAATCAGGGCCGTAACTACGCCGGGGCACCGCCCCGACGGTCAAGGGGGCCCCATATGACGAGACCACATCATGTTTTTTCAAAATACAGTACTCTAATTATATATATGTAGGAAAGAAATTGTGATGAAAATGTTCTTTTTTGTAATTACGTACCTACTATAACAAGGGAAGGGTAAAAAACGGTAAAACACCTTTTCGCGAATTATTTCCCTTTCTCAAAAGAACAAACATGCTTTGCAGAGAATGGGAAAGGTCACAGCTGCATGTAGTTGATTGTTAACACTTTCGGTATACTGCACTTCTGGTTTACTTAGTTGTTTCCTGTCAGACCCAGTGGCGTGCCAACCAGGGGGAGACAGAGGGGCCCCTCTAAAATTTAAGTGATGGGGCAAACGATG